TTTTAGTTAGCAACTGAGCTTTTTAACCATTGCCCCATAATTCATTCCTTGGACCCCTTAAATGAAAATAGCTTTATTATTTCCCTTATTTGTTCATTTCCCTCTCACATGTTTATTGTCAAAACAAATTTATGTGCTACCTATAGGAGTAAAGAAGAAAATGAAAATCACCTGTAACTCCACCTCCTAGAGATACTCATCAAATACGTACGTGATACATGTGACTTCACACACAGACCTTTGCCCACTCCCACAATAAAAAAGCATCATAGTGTACTGTGATTTATTCTTACGTGCATGTCATCAGCTCTTAACAGCTGCAGCAGTGCACAAAAGAGAAAGCTGTCTGTTATGTACAAATCCAGCTGAAACTCCACATCTCTCTCCACTCACAAGCTCGTCCCCCGAGGCACAGCTGAGATGGCAGTCCTGGTCTATGTACGGAGGGGAGGGAGACATAGGTGTTGCATGTTATGCCTCTTTGCTAAACATGATTACTTTTCTGCCTTTAACGATATCCAAAGGGACCTGTGGCAGAGGTCAATAGATTATTTGGGGCCCCTTCCCTGGTTGACATGCCCAAGCTCACTCCCTTCTAAAGGAGAGCCCCACCCACTCAAGTGCACGAGAGGGATGTTATCACAAGATAAAAATAATCTCCAACCCACTTGAATTTATAGGGGCACTGGTGGCACAGTGGTTAAGCACTCCGCTGCTAACCAACAGGCCAGTGGTTCTAACCCACCAGCCCCACCCCAAGAGAAAGATGTAGCAGTCTGCTTCTATAAAGATTCCAAAAAAAAACCCCATTGAGGTCGAGTGGATTCCCACTCATAGCAACCCTATAGGACAGAGTAGAACTGCCCCATAGGGTTTCCAAGGCTGTAATTTTTACAAAAGCAGACTGCCACATCTTTCTCCCTCAGAGCGGCTGGTGGGCTCAAACGACAGAACTTTAGGTTAGCAGCTGAGTACACCACCAAGGCTCCTTCTCCATAAAGATTACAGCCTTGGAAACCCTATGGGGCAGTTCTACTCTGTCCTAGAGGGTCGCTATGAGTCAAAATCCACTGGACCAAAACAGTTTTATGTATTAAAAAAAAGTTACCATTGAGTCAACTTCAGCTCATGGCGACCCCATGTGTTTCCGAGTAGAACTGCATCCCATACAGTTTTCAATGGCTGTGACCTTTGGAAAGTAGATTGCCAGGCCTTTCTTCTGAGGTGCCTCTGGGCAGATTAGAATCACCAGTCTTTCAGGTTAATAGCCATGTGCTTAACTGTTCATACCACCCAAGGATTCTATATTTGTATATATATACATAAATAATTTGAAAACGTTTTCAATTTAAATATTATTCATACAAATTAAGACACACAAATTATGCACAAATAAATAATAATATGAATGAAAAGGGGACATACTCTATATAAAGTTTAGATCAACAAGATAATAAAAATGTTATCAAGAACAATTTGAAAACTTTGATGAATTATACAGTTTTCTAGGAAAATAATTTAAAGATTACTCAAGAAGTATTTCCAAATATCACAATTACAGAACAGAAGAAGTACTTCAAAATGTTCTCTCACTAAACATCAGACCTAAATGATTTTACAGGCAAGTGCTAACCAGTATCCAAGGGATGAATTATCCTTATCTTTGAAAAACTATTCCTGGTATTAGAAAAATACTCTCCATTTCCTTTTTTGAGAACTTCACAACCACAACATAGAAACTAGAAAAAGCCACAATGACAAAGGAAAAATTATAGGCTTCTCTCATTTATGAATATAGAAACAGAAATCATAAATAAAAGATTATATTAGCAAATTAAATTCTACAACGTATAAAAAGATAATAAATCATGACGAACTTGGTCTGGATGCTCTGCTGAAACCTGTCCACCATGGGTGACCCAGCTAGTATTTGAAATACTCATGGCATAGCTTCCAGCATTATAGCAACATGAAAGCCACCACAGTACAACAAACTGACAGACAGTGGTAGGGTCATGGCCTACAAATGTCTAAAAGGGGCCTAACAGACCTCCCACATTGTGTAGTTCTGCCGCACCCTCCTCTCTGTGGTGTGGTGAGCATGCTCTGGCGCCAGCTCATGTGATGGAGCAGAGGAGCAGGGATACTCAGGAGCAGGCCAGAAAGATTAGAGCTTTGAAAAGTCTCAACTCTCCCTGGCCTGTGAAAAAGCATAAGGCTGGGGTCCCAGGATGGGCTGGTGTTTAGTGGCCAGAACTCGTGTTTATGGGTGGTTGGGATAACAGTGTGTGTGCTTGGAGTCTCACTGAGCCTGGAAAGCATGATGAGTGGCCAGGGACACCACCTAGCACATACCCAGTGTTTCAGTTTCCTAGTGCTGCTGCAACAGATACCACAAGTGGGTGGTTTAAAGAACAGAAATCCATTTTCTCACAGTTCTGGAGGCCAAAAGTCCAAATCAGGATCTCGGCCATGTCACTTCTTTCTGTGGGCCTGTCTCCTAGTTTCTGGTGTCTGCTGGCAATACTTGACATTTCTTTGCCTGCAGATGGGACTTCACTGGGCATGTCTTCCCCCTGTGCGTGTCTGTGTCTGTTCCACTCTTTTTATAACTCGGAAGTGATTAGATTTAGGACCCACCCCACTCTGTTATGACTTCATTAATATAATAAAAGAAAATCATATTTGCAAACAGGATCACACTTACAGGTACAAGGACCAGGACTTCAAAACATATTTTGGGGGGATACAATTCAAACCATAACACCTAGTGCGTCTTCTGTCTATAGCAGGCTCTCTAAACTTCAGTGTGCATAAGAATCATGGAGAGTGCTTACTAAAATGTGCCGATTCCTGGACCTTGCCCTGGATTCTGACTCTGTGTGGACCATGCTTTGAGAAACTCTGCTGCATAAAAGTATTCTCTCTCTCCTCTGCCTCCAAAGCTAGTTAAGAAATTCAGGTACTAGAGACAACTTCTTTCCCATGATCCAGCCAGAGAAGATAAATGGCATTTGAAGTAACCAGAAGAAATTTCTGGGACTGAAGGAAGACCCAAGTGGGCCAAATTGGTTTTCATATCCTGTCCAGCAGGAAGTAGAAACCCACCTAGCATTGGATGTCTGAGCAGAGCCAGCTCCTGGAGTTGAGGGGAATGGGGTGGTGGTGGGGATATGGTGATGTTGGAGTTAACTCCTTTTGTCTGATAATTGGGAGCTCCGGGGACCAACGTCTGATTAAAAAATGCATTTTGCAGCCCATTCTCTGTCCGCAGCTGCTCGCCCTTAAGATCACAATGTGGTCAGATCAGAATCATCATTTGCACTTTGAAACAGATTTGTACTATACCATTGTGTCCAATCAAATCTGCATTGTAAGCTTTTGGTTTTATTATGTTATGAAAGGTTTTGTTTTCTGTTTAAAGGAAAGTGAGGCAACAAGATCGCAATGGGAGTTTTTGTTTTTGTTTTTAAACCCAAACACCCTTCTCCTGCACAACCCAAATTTATAGTAGGTCTGCGATGAGCCATAAAGATAAACCTACTTTCATAATATTAGGGAGTCTGCAGAGAAATAACTCAGAAAGGACCATAGGGTGCTAGTCTGACCATCCTTTCTCCCCCTCCAGGCCAGCAGCACAGATAACAGGAAGAGATTGGATTGGGTGATGTGTAACCCTGTGATTCCACTCAGGGTCTCAGAGCGTAACCTCAGGCTGTGCCTTGTTCTATCCCCTCCCTGGTGCCATCTCTCCAACTTTGATCCTCTCTCCTTAGGCCCCTACCTCCCGAATTTGTGACTAGGCTAAGTGCACCAGCTCTGAGTTTCTGCTGTTCTAGTTCACCAGTATTCAGAACAACTGGTGAGAAACTTGGAGCTTAAGGGCCTGTCAGTTAGTGGAGGGTGAAGCCAAAGTAGAATGCCTGGGTGGTGCAAATGATTAACCCGCTGGAAAGGCTGGAGGTTCAAGTTCACCCAGGGACACCTCAGAAGAAAGGCTTGTCCATCTGCATCCAAAAAATCAGCCATGAAAACCCTGTGGAGTGCAGCTCTACTCTGACACACATGGGGTCGCCAGGAGTCAGAGGAAGTTGTTTTTCTTAAGGGAGAACAAAGTGAAGCCTCCAGAGGCTTAGAGGGAGGGCTGGGGAGGGGGTGACTGGAAAGAAGGCATCTAAGGTGCTCGGGAAGCCTTCGTCTTTATAGAATATTTAATGATGATGGCGAGGGTTAAGATTAAACTATGAGAGAAGGTATGGATGAGCAAAGGAAAAAGCCCTTGAGACTAACATAGAGAGAGATCCTGGAAGGAAGAAAAAGTGAGGAGTCTAGAACAATGGTTTGCACGGGTGAAATGAATAATTACAGTCATTTACGTGTCTTGTTCACTCTTTATGCTTCATTAACACACAGCACAATATCTGGTACAACTATCATTAAATGTGTCAGATTGGACGAGCGGTTTTTACCTGATTAGCAAAATGCTCAACGTGTAAACTCAGGTCCTCATAGTAAACTCCATCTACAAAACTGCTGTCTGTTTAAACTTTAAAAAGAAAAGAAAAAAAATAAAAAGAAAGGAAAAAAATGATCAGAGGAAACGCGCTCCTGCCCTGGCCACTGGCGAAAGCTGACACAAAGCGATTAAAAGTTAAGTGGAGGTCGGGCCCTAGCAGCTAGAAGAAGTAAGATCGGGGCCTCCTATATAAAGCTGAACAAGGCGTCGGGGGCCTAGCAAACCTCCACCTTTTTGGCCTCGACGGCGGCAATCCCAGTCTCCCTCCTAACGTCCTCTGCCTTTGGGACTAAGCGGAAAAGCTCACGTTAGTGGCAGCCAAGGAGAAGGGCCGGCCTTGCCAAGACTAAGGAGGGAGGGGAGGGGAAAAAAGCAAGAATCTACCACCTCCCTCCCGGGCGGAGGGGGCGGGAAGAGTGCGTCCCGGCCTGGCCGAGCAGTGTCTTCGACTCGGTGCATCTGCTTAGGGAGCGGCGCGGGAAGGATGCTGGTCCGCAGGGGCGCGCGCGCGGGGCCCGGGCTGCCGCGGGGCTGGACTGCGCTCTGCTTGCTGAGTTTGCTATGTGAGTACCGACCGCGCGCTGCCGCCGGCCCGACTTCCGCGGCGGTGCAGGTCGAGGCTTTCCCGGGAACCGAGCGCCCAGAGCTGAGGCACAGGGACCACTGCCCCAACCCACGCACTGCCGCGCACCGATGCTCCAGGCTGTAGTGGGAGGAGGGCCGTTTGAATCGAACTCTGCCAGCGTCTCACCTGGGAATTGGTGGGGGTGGGAAGGGAAGGCGACCACTTCGTGGGTGTGAATCACCCAAGGTGTAAGCCTGCCTGCGTGCCCTAGACTTCCCAGGGTCAGACAATAGAGTCGTTCGAATTGTCTCCAAAATAAGCGCTTTGGAGATGCCCGTGTCTCCTCGCGTTCGCAAAGGTGCGGAGCTCAGAGCTGGAGCCAGCACCAGAGGCAGGGAAGGAAAGAATCAGTAAAATTTTCCTGTTGGTGGTTGATTCACAAAGCAGCAGCCCTGGCGGGTGGTGGGGAAGGAGCTCCGGCGCCCACAGTCCCCCAGGACAGGTGGAGGCAGAAGCGGACAATAAGGAATGGGAACGAAGGCAACCAAGAGCGAGGCCCCGAGTTTAACGAGTGGGTGGCAGGCTAGGAGGAAGGCCGACTTAGGTGATGAATATCAGAAAGCTAAATAATTACAACTGTCTCTTCGGAACCCACACTGATCCCCACTGGAGCGAAGGTGATGGTAGATGGGGTACTGGGCCCTGCCTGGTTCCCCCCAGCTCCTACTCACACCCCTTCCGGCGAACTCAAACTTGTTACACTTGGGGGTTTTCTTTCCCTCCCCCCTCCAAGTTCTAAAGCTGATGGGCAGGTCAGGACACGCCTCCACTCACTCTCTTGGTCAAAAATAATAGGTGCTCAGTAAACTGTTACTTTCATTTGGGGATGACATTCTGCATCTCATCCCATGGACTTGTTAGGTGCTGTGGAGTGAATTCTGACTCATACTGACCCTGTAGGACAGAGTGGAACTGTCCCATAAGGCTTCCTAGGCTGAAATCTTTACAGGAGCAGATTGCCTGGTCTTTTCTCCACCAGAGTGGCTGGTGGGTTCAAACCACCAACCTTTGGGTTAGCAACCAAGCACTTCACCATTGTGCCACTAGGATTCCTATCATATGGACTTAGAGGGTTTTAAACACTGTAAGGTTGCTCTCACTTCTGAGGAAGATTTTACTTCCAGCCCTCTCAGGTTCCAAATTCCTTACCCTCACTACATCTAAAGGCCACCCACAATGGCCCCACAGAGTGACCCAGGACCAGCCCACTAGGCCTCTTTGCTCTCTGTCTGCGCTGCTGACCTTCCTTTGAGTCCGCCCTGTGGGACAGAGCTGGCTCTGGGCTGGAGAAGGCTCTGTTGACCCTCCTTCGAGTCCACCCAGTGGGACAGAGCTGGCTCTGGGCTGGAGAAGGCTCTGCTGACCCTCCTTCGAGTCCCCCCTGTGGGACAGAGCTGGCTCTGGGCTGGAGAAGGCTCTGTTGACCCTCCTTCGAGTCCACCCAGTGGGACAGAGCTGGCTCTGGGCTGGAGAAGGCTCTGCTGACCCTCCTTCGAGTTCACCCTGTGGGACAGAGCTAGCTCTGGGCTGGAGAAGGCTCTGCTGACCCTCCTTTGGGTCTGCCCTGTGGGACAGAGCTGGCTCTGGGCTGGAGAAGGCTCTGAAGGAGGCTCCGGGTGGACCCATTTTGCAGCCTCAGACCTGGCAAAAGAAGAGCTGTTGCTGAGGCATTGAAGCCCTAGAATGGGGACTTCCCTGGGTGCTAAACTGCGCCCTCATAACACGAGTGAGCTGGCCGAGTGAGCTGGCCGTCGGCTCAGATTCCCATGGGATGCTCCCCTCTCCTTCATTTACACCGCTCGCTCGTGATGATCTGGTCCTAGGCTGAGAGAGGCCTACCCTTATTTCCTCAGCTCGTCTTGGTCTGCAGAAGTGGGGTGAGGGCAGCAGTGCCATCTCTGCTGAGGATTTCAGTGTCTCAGTTTAGAGCATGAGGAGGGAGTGGGACATGGGTTCCCATTCCCAACACCGCAGGACTACTGAGGCCATTCCATAGCTTTATGTCCCGAGAGCTTTCCGGGGGTTTTTAATGCCAGGAGTTGTTCTGTCCTGGGACACACTGTGGGAAAAATGAAATGAGTGACTACCTTGAAGTGCTAACAAAGGGACATTTCAGAAAGTCTTTGCCATCATTACTGTGGAATTTAGGGCAGAAGGGGGTTCTGTGTTTCTCTGATCACTTACCGCCACAAAGAGCTTTATTCTGGGAAGGTCTTTATTCTGTCCCCAGGAGAAGTTGGCACGGGCATGGGCTCACCAGCCAACCAAAAGTGAAGTCTCTTTGTCGGGAGTGGGGTGGATCCCAGACCAGAGTCAGGCTTGAGGTAGGGGCTGAGGGGCCACCAGGCTGCACGACCACACCACCAGCCATGGTGGGCGGCTTCCAGGTAATTAGGAAACCCCGTTTGTTTGTCATGCTCAGGGTACCTCTTCCTCCAAGCCCTCAGCTGCCTGTCCTTCCCCTCTTCCTAGCAACACCCTCCCTTCCCCTGGCCCCGCCCCTTCACATTCCTCTTCTTCCTTTGGGTCTTTAATGCCTGCTGACCCCACACCCATATCCTGTCTGGGGCTACATGTAAGAGGGGAAAAAAGAAAAGGGAAAAGAATTTTATCAGATATTTTCCAGAGGGGAGAGGACTCCACCCTTGAATCTCTGCCACACGGCGACCGAGAAGCAGCAGCCTGTGGGACCTCTGACTAATTCAGTGGTCCCCGTGCTTCCCCCTTGTAGGACCAACCCAGCTGGCACAACCTACGGAAATGTGTTTCTTCAGCAGCATTCCTGCTAGGCTGATAAACGCATAGGAGCCCGGGGCCTCTTTCCTTATCCCTCTGGCTCCCCCTCCTGGGCCCCTCAGTCACTTGTCTTTCTCTGCTTCCCTCTCTGAGTCTGTCTCCAAAAGCTCAGTGCACGAAGTGCCAAACTGCAGCAGATAAACAGAGCACAGAGTTCTACAAAAACAAGTGAAAAGGAGGAACAAATTCCACTTCTTATGGTCTCCTTGCCTGATTTTCTTTAGACGCTGGCCTGGAGGGCCCGGGCTGCCTTTCAGGGCTGGGCTGTTTACTACCTCCACCCTCAGGTACTTGGGCCTCTCTCTCTCTTTGACTTTGGTTAATCTCACTAAATGGCCTGGAGAGTGCAGAACTAAACATGTGACGGTAGAGCAAAAGAACTGAAAAAGCACACTCCAAGACAAAATTCTCAAAGTCGCCAGGGCAGAATTTCCATATTTTTCTGGGCTTTGATTTCTCTAATGAGGACATTCTCTTCCCTCCTCAGCTAAGAAATGAAAATACATTATCTACAATTTTTAGTCCCCAAGGTCCCCTACTCTGTGCTCAAGAGAAAGACACATATATCTTGGGAGGCCGGCCATACAAACCAATGGGGATACATACAAAGGTGTGCTTCCTATACCTTCATGCTGAAGCCCACCAAGGGGTTAATCACTTCCTTTCAGATGCAAAGGAAAAGGCATTTGGCTTAACTGGGAAGTCTGCTCCTTCCTGATTTGGAACACACACATACACACACAACTGGTACCTTCTGGAGCAGTGGCATTTCTAGGTAGAGGATTCCATTGTCTAAGAAAATGCTGAAGCCCACCAGGGGATGACTCACTTCCCTTCAGATGCAAAGGAAAAGGCATTTTGTCTTAAGTGGGAAGTCTGCTCCTTCCTGATTTGGAACACATACACTCACATACACACATAGTTGCTACCTTCTAGGGCAGTGGCATTTCTAGGTAGACAATTCCATTGTCTAAGAAAATGCCTTAGTGCCTCATTGGTTGAGACAGCCTAGGTGGGCAGACCCCAGATGTGCAAGGGCTGAATTGCTGAGCATGATAAAATGTTACATTTTGTTTGAGTGGGTCCAAGAGACAAAAGACTGAAGGACTCCAGAGCCCAGGAAGAGAAGAGAGAAGGGAGGCGAGGTGCCGTGGTGGATGGAGGGTGGGAAAGACCTGGCCGATGTGATATTCCTTCTGGTAGAGAATGGATTTTTAGCCATGGTGGTGCAGTGGTTAAGTGCTCAGTTACTGGAAGGGTCGGTAGTTCGAACCTACCAGCCACTTCGCCAGAGAAGGTTGTGGCGGTCTGCTTCTGTAAAGATTTATAGCCTAGGAAACCCTGTGGGGCAGTTCTCTGAGCTATAGAGTCGCTGTGAGGCTGAATGGACTCAACAGCAATGATTGTAGGTTTTTGGGAATATCTGCTATTGCAAGGTTATGCCGTTGTCTCTTCTGGGTTGTGCTATAGTATCTTACCATCATGTTAAACCTTCAGTAAAAATCAGCCATACACACTGGCCTTGTGTTAGTGGTGCTCTGGGGGTATCAAGGAAGAGGCGCTTGGCTGCTTACGGTGAAGTCGTGCGGAAAGAGAACTGCTTCACTTAAAGGACAGGGAGGCATGGAGTCAGGAGAATGACAAGGAGCTGAGGAGAGAAATGCAGGCCCTCAGAGAATCCTCAGGACGTTGGGGTTCCACAGTAAGTGGGGTGGGGTCCAAGACATGCTATTTGAACATCAGAGAGAGGGTGCCGTGAACTGAGAACGCTCTGGCCACAGATACTTGGTTTATACTCAAACCTCAGTTTAGCCTCTGAAACTTAGGACATCACCAGCCCAGTTCTTTGTTATCCAAGATGGTGCAAGTTCATGGTAAGCCTGAGGGTTGGAAGGGACCCTTAAGGATGGTGCTTCCTGAATGCCTCCCAAGGTAGCTTACTCCATTTTTATAAGAACTCTACTCTATTTTAGTTTTTTTTCCCCATGTATTGCAATGAAATTTCTTGTTGTTGTTAGCTGACATGGAGTTGGGCCCTGACTCCTGGAGACCCTATGCACAACAGAACAATTGCTGCCCAGTCCCGTGCCATCCCCCTCAGATTGGACTGTTGTGATTCATAGGGTTTCCATTGGCTGA